ACAACTCTATCGTTTTTCAATAAAGAAAAAAAAATCTCTCTCTTTCTAATTATTGAACAAAATTTAATGGGATTTTTGCCATGAACTGAAATTACCCCCACAACAAAGTACGAAACTTGGAACATTGAATGATAACACAAATGCAAAAGAAAGAGAGTAAGTGAGGGACTTGGAATGGGGTTTGGGAACTTTTTAATTTGGATATGGAAAGGGAAAGTGATGTATACTTGTGATGACAAAAGAAAATAAACAAAAGTAATGCTTGGATCGATCAGAAATGAGCATATTTCCCAATGCATGCATGCATCTCTCCCTCTTTCCATCTCTCTCTGGCTCTGTGTGTGTTTTTGGTCATAGGTGGGTGTCTGCCTGCAGGCTTAACATGTGCATTTCAATACTACTAACACTTTAGGATAAGTCCATATCACATTTAATTTCTTATATGTATAATATAATAATTCACAATTCAATCGACAGACGAGAGAGAGAGAGAGAGAGATTTGTCCCGATCGAAACCACCTCACCACCAACAGCCAGCCATAATATAGGGTTTTTATTGCATATATTTTCTATATCAGTTAATTTAGTCTTTGAAATTTACCGCTCCTCGTCAATTTGGTCATTTCTTAAACTTTTGTTTGTAGAACCAGCGGTTCTAATAATATGGTGACACGCAAAATAAATTAGAAAAGAATTTTAAAATTTAAAACAATTGGAAAATAAAATAATAAGAGATTTTTTTTTTAATACATCGATGTTTTTACACTAAGGAGAGGGAGAGTTTGACTAAGTCACACAATGAGCAACCTAATTTGGTATCAAATTTATTATCCATGAGATTCGAACTTAAGACCTCACACTTTTAAATAAAGAGAAATATCGTCCGATTGTAGTACTGAGTGACAAATAATAAGAGAATCAATAAAATAAAATAAAAAGTCAAAATGCGGAAGAATCGTGCCAAGGACATATCAGTCCCAAGATTGCCTCCATGATCGATTTATTTTTTTTAATTTTATAATTACTTAATAAATTTTGTACATTGTATCGATTTGGGTACTCCTCCATGTTCTTCGAGATGTGAAACCCTGCACCACCAAATCCCAAATCAAAACTAGGGTTTAATCGACCTAGAAATCAAAATCCCCAAATCCCAACACCTCACAAATTACAATAAGAGTTTTGGCACAATATTTTATAATATTGACACAAAAATTAACGTTTGATTGTGAGGTGATAGAGAATCTATGAAGAGTCCCACTTTAAACGAGTCTATTTAGCATTTCTCATTTCTAATCTACCTAGCTTTAGAGGACTGTCCATAAATATTTGTAACAAACGAGGCTTTATAGTTAATTTCCCAATTTTATTATTATTATTGATTTTTTTACAAACGATATTATTTACACTCAAGGTTCTAAAAGACGCTAGGCACTAGTTGGGCGGTGAGCTGGAGCTTAGCGCCTAGGTGGACTAGGCGGATGTAAGTAAATCTATTATATTTCATGTAAATAAGTGCTTGTTTATACTTAAAGTATATATAATTTCATCATAAACTACAAAATAGAATAATATATATATATATTATGAAGTATTGGAACATAATGAAAATATGGAGAACAAGCATATAATGTGTGTTTGTTTAAGTATTCATCAAGTCTCTTATAATTTATTGAAAAAAATAAAATGCAAATGAAAGTTATCTATTTTTTGTCTAAGTGAGTCTCAACCTAGACGAGTTTGGGCGGGCTAGGCAGGTGCCTAGGCGGTCTAGGTGGGTGTCTCAGCAAGTTTAGGTGTTATTTCTTAATTTTCAAACGCCTAGACATTAATTGGGGCAGTGTCCAGCCGTCTAGCGTCTAAACGGGGCTTAGGTGGCGCTAGGCGGGGACTTTTAGAACAATGTCAACACTAAGAGAGATGGGTGGATTTAGTCTCACAATGAACTATTAATAATGTGGTTCATGGTTTACTACTTTGATTTCTGGTGAGCAAGTTGGTAATACCCCTAGATCGTCGCATAAGTAGGCTCCCTGACTACCTGATTCATGGTTTGGTACTTTGATTTCTGGTCGTTCTTTTTGCTTTCTGCTCGCTTTCCAACAGACGCTATTGGGCTCTTAATCCACTCTTGCTAAAGGAGGATCCAACCACGACTCTTGAAGGGCCAATGTTCTATGGAAACTATTGAGCCCATGATCCGTATTCGGAAAAGTTACAAGTGCGGAAGTTGGCAATCGCCCATGACCGGCGTAATTCTGTCCAATTAACTTTACCTCCACTATTCTTCCCTCGGGCCCAAATGATATACTTATGAAATGGGTCCTTAACTAATTGGAAATTGAATACAGGTGTACAAGTAATCTTAACCGCAGTCAATATGTGTGTAATGCATGTTATGGATTTATTTGAAAGTACTTTTAAAATAACTAAAAACATAGAGAAAATATTTTTGAGTTTTAAAGCACTTAAAGTGCTTCATGCAAGAAGCGCCAGTTATGTGCTTCTTGCAGGAGGCACTTCAAGTGTTTTTTCATGATTCACTTGCATTTTTATTAAGAATTGAATCAAAAAATAATTTCACCAAAAGAGCTTTTAGCCATTTTAAAAACACTTTCAAACAAGTCTTATATAGATATGGTTTCTAGTCCTTATACAACAAATTTTAGAGACTTGGTAAAAACAAAGTATTACCAAACTAGCTTCCATGCACACGCTAATGCGCTTACAGAAGACATTTTTTGAATCACGACGTGTTACGCGCGATTTACATATTTTAAATGTATTTATTAATGTAGATGGAAATGAATAATAAATACATTTAATAAAAACTGTCTTTCAATTTCCATCTACATGTTATTGAATTTACATTAAAATTAGAAAAAATAATATTTAATAAACAACTAATTGCTAGCCTATTGTGAGGCTAAGCTCACTTCCTCCCCTTAATGTAGATAACATCGTTTGGTAAAAAAAAAAAAAAAATATCATTTGACAACTAATTGAATCACATTATTATGCGAGTGCGAGAGACTTTTTTATGACTGGCACTACGCACTTCTTAAGTGTTTAAAAATTGAGAAATAATATTTAATAAACAACCACGTGCAAAAGATATTTTTTTGAATCATAGCACGCTAAGCGCGACTTAGACATTTTAAATGTATTTATATGCGTGAATTGCTTCAATATTTTTTGATTTTGTTATTTTTTTTATCACCAGCGCTACATGCCTCTTAAGATGTTTTAAACACAACATTCATGATTTTTCTTATTTTTTATTATATATTTCTTCCCCTTCACGTGGGCGGTGGGCAGCATCACGTGGGCGGTGGGCATCATCACGTGGGCGGTGGGCACTATTAACTTTGTCATTTTTTTATTATTTTCTCTCTTCCCTTTCATTTTTTTATTCTTTTCTCTCTTCCCATTTATATTTATATTTTATTTTATGATGATTAAATTACCAACTTACCCCTGCATGATTTGATATATTATTTTGAGTAGGTTTTGAATTTTTTGGTTGAGAAACAGTTTGTTCCAATTCTTTTTGTTAAAATGGGTGACACCAAAATTTTTATCTCATGCATGACCCCAAATTCCATTGTTCATCACACTGCTCTCCACTGTTCATCAGCCTTTCGGCTTTATATATAATAGATTAATGCTACAATTATCTTCAAAGTATTACTGAAAGTCAAATAGTTAGTCAACCCTTAAACAAAATGGCAAATTTGGTATGGTTGATTAGTGCGTTTATTCTTTCGTGAACTTTTCAACAAATACAAGTCAAGCCGTCCACAGAGACACACATGCGTATAATACATACTATATATTTTTTGTATGAAAAAGGATGCTAGTGGGATCATTTTTACGAGGATCTTATGGATTCTGTGATTGAGATCGTTCATCGTACATTATGAGATTAGAAATTATTTTAAAATTTAAAATTAAATATAAATAGTATCTAACGAAAACAGACTGCACGATGTACGATGAACGGTCGCGATCAAAGGCCAAATCCTTTTCCTTTTTGTATCACCATGTGAATAGGAATTGCATATGATGTTTTGACGCAGTGTTGAAAAGTAATAAGCAATCATGCATATGCATTCCCGGAGATCTCATACAAACTCGATTCTACTGATTTATCTTTTCCCTGATAACTAACTATTTATTCCACTAACGCTATCGCTTTGCTAAAAAGTAATAGGAATTGTGTAGAAATATTAGTCTTATGTTTGAGAAAACGTGAATGGGACTTAATTCCAGTTAATTCACATCACATGTATACAAACAAAAATCTCAATTAAGATGTGCTTACATCTTCTGCTGCTCATCCTCATCACTAGTGCTGCAACATTTTCCACGGCATATAAGGTCAACACAACAAGAACATTTCCGTCCATGGAGATGGTGAGACCATTGTCTCAGATGGTGGCACCTTTGAGCTTGGTTTATTAAGTCGCGGTGCTCTGTAAAACCGCTACGTTGGGATGTGGTACAAGAAATACCAGTTATGACCGTCGTTTGTGTAGCTAACAGGGACGGCCCGCTCGCTTATTCATTCGCCGTTCTGAAGTTCACCAACCCCGAAAATCTTGTCCTTGTCAAGCAGAACAACACAGTTTAGTCCTCCAACACATCAAGACCTACACGGAATTCAGCGGCACGACTTTTGGATTCGGGAAATGTTGTGATACATGGTCATACTGTTACCCTGGTGCTACGATGCATGGACATGGAACTGTCGGGCTACGGTAACATAATTTTTTGACTGAATTCAAACCTACTTCGACATCAGTTTCACGTTGGAGAACAATTTGTCTTCGGAATACGCCCAATTATTCAACAATATTGAAGGAAGTCAAAAATAATTATCCGACAATATTGAAGGAAGTCTAAAATAATTGATTGCTTGTAGGAAAAGGTATTCACGTTATTTAAATAAGGCCTTCAAATGACAGACAAAAATGCATATCACACATGTACGAGGAAGGTATAGAGGGACAATTGAGATCTTTAATATTCAGTGATTTCCCATGAATTTAATGGAAAATCCATTGAAAGCTTCAACTAAGATGTGCTTGCTTCTTTTCTACTCTTCTTTGCTGCTCATCATCGCAGCGGTATTCTCCACAGCTGATGACGCCACAAGCACATTTCAGTCCATTGCAGATGGTCAGACCATAGTCTCAGATGGTGGCACCTTTGAGCTTGGTTTTTTCAGTCCCGGTGCTTTGAAAAACCGCTACGTTGGGATATGGTACAAGAAGATATCTGTTACAACCATTGTATGGGTTGCCAACAGAGACACACCCCTCACTGATTCATCCGGCGTTCTGAAGGTCACCAACCCCGGACGTCTTGTCCTTCTCAGCCACAATATGAGCACAGTTTGGTCCTCCAACACATCGAGAACTGCACAGAATCCAGTGGCACGTCTTTTGGATTCGGGTAATCTTGTCGTCATGGATGGGAGTGATGTTGACCCTGAGAATTATCTGTGGCAAAGTTTTGACTACCCTGGCGATACATTCTTACCAGGTGCAAAGCTTGGTAGGAACACAGTTACAGGCTTCAATTGGCATTTTAGATCATGGAAAAGTCCTCAGGATCCTTCTCATGGAAATTATACATATCAACTTGGTCCCAAAGGATATGCAGAAAAATTTGTGAGGGAAGGTTCAGTCATAAAATTTCGGTCTGGACCATGGACTGGAGTCCATTTCCAGTTCAGTGGAACGCCTCAGCTAAATACAAGCCCCATATATACATACAGTCTTGTTTCTGAGCCTGATGAAATTTACTATAGTTACAAGCTTCACAACAACTCAATCCTTTCTAGGGTGGTGTTAACTTCAGATGGAATTGTGCGGCGCTACACGTGGATTGATAGAACCAAAGGTTGGCTGCTTCAACTAATAGCACAAATTGATAACTGTGACAACTATGCATTATGTGGTGTATATGGTGCATGTAACATTGAAAAGGCCCCGGTATGTAGCTGCTTGAAAGGATTTAAACCAAAGTATCCTAAAGAATGGGATTTGGTGGATTGGTCTAATGGCTGTGTGAGAAATGCTCCGCTGAATTGCAGTGGAGACGTGTTCAAACAGTACTCGGGGATCAAATTGCCTAGCACAGAACAGTCCTGGCATAACATAAGCATGAACCTCAAGGAATGTGAGATGGTGTGCGCAAAGAACTGCTCCTGCACAGCTTATACAAATTTGGATTTCCGGGATGGAGGAAGCGGGTGCTTGATGTGGTACGGTGATCTGATTGATATAAGATACTTCGCTGAAAACGGGCAAGACATTTATATAAGAATGGCCGCTTCAGAACTAGGTATGGAAAAAACACCTGGTGGTGATTATGCATTTATCATATGCTCGAAAGAAGTCAAGATATAACGAAGTGAAATGTTGTTCTAATTCCAACAGTTAGAACTTTGAATTTTGACACAATTAGCAAATTCTTCTCTTAGCAATGATTCGTTGGATGATAGACAATATAATCTGTTTTATTTATTACTCTCCGACTCATAATTTTTCTGTCATCAAAATCATCATTCTTAGATCATGAAGACGATACAAAGATCAACGCTCAATACTCTGAATCCAATGTGAAGAAAATGAGGATCATAGTAACCAGTACTGTGTTGTCTACTGGACTGCTGATCCTGGGCCTTGCCCTGCTCTATGCTTGGAAGAAGAAGCGCCAAAAAGATGGTAAGCTATTTAACTTTCTACTCTTCTGCTCCTCAGTTTTCTAAGCTAGGTAGTATAGTTCCATGTTAAATGATTTACTTCACTACGTACTTTGCAGGAAAAGTGAGGTCCAACCAAAAGGAAGACCTAGAGTTACCATTATTTGACTTAAGTGATGTCGTTTGTGCTACTAGTGATTTTTCAAACCACAATAAGCTTGGAGAAGGTGGTTTCGGATCTGTCTATAAGGTGAAATCACAGTCCTCGCTACAATTTGCTTGACATTTCAGCATGTCGCTTTGGTCAGGAGTAACAGATACAAGCAGGGAGTAGAATGGATTTTGATCTGATACGGTCTGATGACTTTCAGGGTACATTGAAAGATGGACAAGAAATAGCTGTGAAAAGGCTCTCCAAACATTCGAGACAAGGACTCAATGAGTTAAAGAATGAGGTTACACATATTGCCAAACTTCAGCACCGGAATCTAGTGAAGCTTCTAGGATGCTGCATTCAAGAAGACGAGATGATGCTGATCTACGAGTTCATGCCTAACAAAAGCTTAGACTTCTTTATTTTCGGTATGACTACTCAAGAACCTTATACATCACTTGACTTAAGTTTCTATTCACCTCATACTTTGAAAACTTACGTCTGATCCTTCGTCGGTTGGCTGTGTAAGGGAAGGGAAGGGAATGGGAAGTGCAAGATCACAAAGTTGATTTTGTTAGAATAACGAATGTTTTTAACACTGGTGAACTATGCTATTTTGCAGATCAAAGAAAAAGCACCTTACTAGATTGGCCTAAACGTTTTGAAATTATTAATGGGATTGCTCGGGGGCTCCTCTACCTTCATCAAGATTCTAGATTGAGAGTAATTCATCGAGATCTCAAAGCCGGTAACATTCTATTGGATGGTGAGTTTAATGCAAAAATTTCAGACTTTGGCCTGGCAAGAAGTTTTGGAGGAAATGAAACTAGGGCTAAGACGAAGAAAGTGGTTGGAACATAGTAAGTATTGTAAAAGATCTATTACAGTCTACATAGTACATACCTTGCTTATAAAAGGTAGTTTTGGACACATTGGTTTGCAGTGGTTACATGTCCCCAGAATACGCTATCGATGGGTGCTACTCGATAAAATCCGACGTCTATAGCTTTGGTGTTATGGTGCTCGAGATAGTGAATGGGAAGAGGAACAGAGGATTTTCTCATCCAAGCCACAACCTCAACCTGCTAGGACATGTAAGTGTCAATATCAATTTGTAGAATTTCGTCGAATGTGACACTGAACTGTCTATTAACAATTAATGACAATAATTGATGTAAAAAGTGGATCCGATTCCACTTAAAAATGTAAAACTTGGTTTGTCTAGCATTATTTTATGTCTTTACTTGTTCTGTATGCTTCTATTTATTCAGTAAAATTGATGGTTGCGATCTTTCAGGCATGGAATTTATACACAGAAGGCATGTCCATTGAGCTGCTTGATACATCAGTAGGAGACTCCAGTAATCAACACGAAGTTCTGCGATCCATCCACGTGGGTCTTTTATGCGTGCAACGAAATCCGGCAGATAGGCCAAGTATGCCAGCTGCAGTTCTGATGTTGAGTGGTGAAAGTGCATTGCCTCAACCTCAAAAACCTGGTTTTTATAGTGAAAGGGTTCTAGATGACAACAATGTTGATCCTTGTGCAAACGAGGCTACATTTTCAGCTAATGACGTCAGTTATTCACTACTCGAGGCTCGATAGTTATTATTCATGTTCTGTTTGTATCATCTTAAAATGTCCTATTAATTTGAGTTTCTTGAGTATTCTCTGATCATACAACTTCTTGCTTTACATAAGCTTTACTCTGATATAGGCGGCGACTCATTTGAATTTGAATTGTAGATGCAAATTAGTTATCGTTTATAGATTTCGATTGGATCAGATTATATATTTGAACCACTGATTCAGATTCGACAGGTTTACTGCGTTCTACTGTTTACTAAAATACAAGATTGAGCTTTTTTTTCTTTGGTACAACTTAATTAAACACGCTGAAAAACAACCTACAGCATGAAAAAAACTGAGGCCAACAGACAGCAAGGGAAACAAGGTAGCAAAAAACCACCACACTCAGCAACCAAGAACAACGAGAAAGCAGAACCTCGTTGTTACCTGCGGGAAACGTAAACATCGACAAAGAAAGTCTGCAGGGAACGGTAGACACAATGGCATAAAAAATGCAAGTAGCATCACTGGAATCATTCTGAAAATTTCTGCCGCAATGCAAACAAAAAGTCAATGAGAGGGTACCAAATTAATCCATTACATCTGTACGTAGTTACGTACTGACATGCAATCAAAAAATCACTGTGAAGAGAGAGACCTAGACGCAATGGGACATACAACCAGTTACAAAACATATTCTCTCCCACCCGAGATACTCATGTTGATACTTCGTTTTTTGATATTTGTATATTAAAGTCAAATGTGGGGATTCATCTCTTCCTCTAATTTTCCAACTCACAATTAACTTGAATTACAAGAATTGAAGCGGAGAGAAAACGATACTGATACTTACAACACAACCAATCAGAGCATGTAAGTTTCCTTTGAGCTGAGGGAACTAGATGACCACATATGAATTTAGATATTTTCTACTTGACGAACATCGTTCTTTGACTGAATCCAAACCTACTTCTGATTGAAGACAGTTTTCTCAGTTTCACGTTGGAGAACCTTACACATTACTTCACTTAAGTATCCTAAAACAGTAATAGAAAGTCTAGATTCTTTGCGTATAAAAATGGTTTTTGACACATTGATTTGCAGCGGTTACATGTCTTCAAAATATGCAATTGATGATTTTTGCTCTATAAAGTTCGACGTCTTTAGCTTTGGTGTTTTGGTGGTAGAGATAGTGATTGGGAGCAGAAATAGAGGATTCTCTCATCCAGACCACAACCTCAACCTTCTCGGACATTAAGTATGATAGTATTAGATGTCGAGTTAAAATCTCTTATCTCTCGATTATGGTACTTGTACTGAGCAGACTAGTTTTCGTGCTTTAGGCATGGATGCTACACACATAAGGCAGGCCTCTTGAACTGCTTGATACATCGGCAGAGGAATCCATCACTCTGCATGAGGTTGTACGAACAACTCAAATGGGTATTTTATGCATGCAGCTGAATTCAGAAGATAGGTCGAGCATGTCAGCTGCAATTCTAATGTTGGGTGGTAAAGGTGCATTTCCTCAACCTCTAAACCTAGTTTTTACAGTGAAGGGGATCTGATTGAACTCGAAATCAGTCATTCTTCATTATTTCACCACTAAAGGCTCGATAAAATATGAGAACTGATTTATGCACATTTAGCCCTCTTTATTTTTATTCATTGATTTCTTATAACTTTGGGAAGACAAGAAATAAACTTGAGTGTGTAGAAATAGTTAAAAAAAAAGCGGAAATCACTTCTCCAAATTATAGTCGGGGTTGATGCATACAACTTGTTAGAATGGAACACAAATAATATAGAATTGTATACAAAACTTCTTAATACTGTTCATAAAGTACTACATTAACAAAAAGGTCTGAAATTTTGAGAAATAAATAAATAAATAAATGAATCAAATTTTAATCCCTTTTTTTTTTTTCAGCAAAAAGGCAGATGGCAGTTTCGCTAATACTTATCGGAAAGACGTAAGACTTAATCCTAACAAAGCATTTTCCATCCTGCAAAGAAAAACAAAGCAAGCATTTTCCATAAATTTCTCCAACTTTTGATCCAAAAGTGTTTTGGGAAAGACATAAGATATTAGTGAGCTCGTTTGGAAACGTTTTTAAAATAATTGAAAATGTTTTTGGAAAAGGCATACGAGAGATTATATTCACATACCTTAAATTATTTCTTCCACACCTTTTAATTTTTTTAATATTATCTATACACCATTAACACTTGATAGAAAAATATTAAAAAATTAAAAGAGTGCGAGAAAAGTAATTTGGGGTGGGTGAATATAATCTCATACATTTGGGTTGAGTTTTAAAAAAACTTGAAGTGCTTCATGCAAGAAATACTAGAAAGCACTTCAAGTGATTTTCATAATTCGCTTAAATTTTTACTACTGATTAGTCCCAAAAATTTATTCATAATTCACTTAAATTTTTATTAAGAATTAGTGCCAAAAATATTTTTATAATTCACTTGCATTTTCATTAGCCATTGTAGAAGCACATTCAAACAAGTTGGTAAATAATAGCATCGCCACTTGGTGAGAAGACATTTGACAAACAAAAAATGCTACTTTTATCTCTATTAAAGTGATGATACAAATAGGTAGTAAGAGTAATATTATTCTTCGACAAACTCTTGTCTTTCTGTCAGTTGTATATCCAAAATTTCCACGTCATCACCAAGATTTGGTTATCGTCCTCCATCAAGGGCAAGATGATCCTCTCCTGAGCATAGAATGAGGATCCTCCTGATCACGAAATCCGGACCGTTCAATTTTAATCTAACAGTTGCAATTATTATAATTTTTAAGGGACCTCTTGCTTAGAACTGTTGGATTAAAATTGAACGGTCCAGATTTCATCATCAGGAGGATCCTCATCCTGAGCTCAGGAGAGGATCCCCTTCCCCATCAAGTGTAAATGGGGCAATCCACCATCATCAATGTGTAGTAGTGAAAAAAAACAGCACTGTGTTGTGTGTTCCTCTCTTCGCTTTCCCTTTTGTAAAACCCTAATCTTCTCCTGAATTTAACTTTCAGGGTTGCCTGGCTTCTGCACCATTTCCTACCAATACAGGTCAGTTCTCTCTCTCTCTCTCTCTCTCTGTGTATTTGTTTTGAGAATTAAAGGAAACAAAGTGGTGCACTTTTGCCCACTTTTTGGATTGAATTAGTTGATGGGTAACTCTAATTGAAGCTAAATTTGAATTGCAAATTGTTGCTAATTGGTCTTATGGGCTCTCTTCGCTTATGATTTGTTTGTTTGAAAATTGGGGAGCAAAGCAAAACAAATTTTTGAAACAGACTCAACTTTTAACAGTTGGATAAATCTTAATGGAGACAGTAATTTTTCGTCGTTGCACCGAGTGCTTTTTGACTCTTGTATATGAACAAAGACTGTCTTTTTGGACAATATGCTCAAAAGAAATATGGTTGCAAGGTTGTTCTAGTGCTTGAAAGGGTGTTTACGCAATTTAAAATTTTTCATATCAGACAGTCATTTGCCTTTGCCACACTGTTAGTTTGTGTTGAGCATAGATGACATTGTAGCTGATGTTGGATGCACTTCATTTTTCTGACTATTGAGCTTATTAGCACCCTCGCATGCATATATGTAAATATTTGAAAACGTAAATTAAAAAGAAGTTTATGTGGTGTTTGCTCATACCAGTAATTGGAAAAAGTTCGGTTGGCACAACATACCGTAGATTTGCATTCAAGTGATACATTTACGATCAATAGTTGGTCACCATCACTATTATTTTAAAGGACTTTTAGAGAGCACTTTTTCTTTACAAAATGTTTGTGCATGTATGCAGTACTACACTCTTATGTATTTGTATGTATTTATTTAGTAAATGTGCGTTCTTTACAATACGTAGATGGTTCATTTTTTATGAATGATTATGCTGGTTTCAGTTTATTAATTGAGTTATGGCAATGGTAACCTGTGCAGTGGATTGCTACTTACGTCTCTTCAAAATCAGGAAGCAAGTATACCCAAAAGGTTTCATGGCAGTTAATGGCCTGCAATCTCTAGGTCGTGTGAAGTTAGCTGATTTGACTCCTGCTGAAGGCCTTCCATCAGATTCTTACAAACTGTCTGTTTCAACTTTGTCACAATCACTAGCTCAGCATTCTGCTGCCATCATTCAGTTTCCAGTGAGTGATGGGGCTCTTTTGAGGTCGGGTTTAGATTCATGTCACCTCTACTTCCACCAGAAAGCATCATACCCAGCTGCTGATATGGTTAATAACAATGACCCTCGTGACTGGTGCAAGACTTCCGGTTATAATGCAGATCCTCAATTGTGGCTAGAAACCTATGATTACAGACCTGGACTCACTCCTTTAGAGCCCAACAACACAATGGAATTTCCTCCAGCAGGTTTACCAGATATATTTTCAATGCTTGCAAAGGCAGCTCGGGATATATTGGACGCTATCAGCTTCTATTTGAACTTGAGGAGCTCTGCATTTACTGAAGTACTTGATAATGTTCCCTTAAGAAATCAGGAAATATCTTCTTCAGTATTATCTGTCTGCTGTCATGCAAGGCCTTCATTTCAGGGCGCACAACACCATAATTTTACAACCCAAGGGGATGGCCAGTTGGTTATGTATTCTGACCATGAGCCTCAAATTGACAAAAGCTTGATATCTCTTGTCAAGTCAGACAAGGCCGGTCTACACGTAAAGGACTTTCATGGTCGTTGGGTTCTTGTGGATGAAAATCTTGGTCCTCAAGAAGCTATTGTTTACCCTGGACTTGCACTCTATCAGGCAACTGCAGGATATGTCAACCCAGCACTGCAGAGAACAGAGCCTACTAATACACAGAGTAACTTGTTTGGGCGATGTTCTTTGTCTTTTAAACTCATGCCTAAATCCATGACCCATCTCAATTGTTCAGAGATGAGAGCTGCTGGTCATGGGGTTGAACCTCAGTTCCAGCTTCCAGTAGCGGTTGATGACTTTATGCAGAGATCTCACCCCTCCGATCAACTCTTTAACAGACTCAGTTTTCAAAGTTTCAATTTTCATGCAGCACAAGATGGTATGCTGCATTTAATCTTCTTTACCATTGTCTGCTTGTTTACATACTGTAAATTGATTTCATGAATTCAGGTTTTTTAATGACAGCTTACTATGACTAGGATTGGTTTTACTGAGTGAAGCACATGCAGACACCAAAAATAAGTTTAAGAAGTGAATTTGGCTTACTCTACGTTGTTGTATAATCGAGATTTACTGAATGTATATGCTAAATTAAGTGAAACTCTTCATAATTTGATAGGCTCTGTTTTCATTTGATTGAGAAAATCATCAACTGCGCAATAGTTTTTGCATTTCTGTTGTCGTAAACAAGGATCTGCAATCTAGAATTATCTTCTAAAACTACCTAATAGTTTGTGCATTGGATTGCACGTGTTCTATGTGTGAGTATCTCTTAGTGAGAAGTTTTTAACAGCAGGTCCTTGGATCGATGAAATGCTGGTACAGGATCTGTGAAGCCTTTGTTGAGGAAGAGAAAGAGTGAAAGAACCAAACCTCTGCCACCTTCCAAGAGATTACGGGTCGAGGCCCAGAGAGTCCTGAAGGAAAGGGTTCAAGACATTGCAGACAAGAAGGGAATCAAGCTGAGGTTCTGCAACCTGAAGGAGTGTGAGAGTCATATTCAGACACTTGATAGCCCATGTGCCAATATAAGAATGGAGATCGGGTGGCCACATGGAGTGCCATTTGTTCATCCCCATGATCTCCCGAACAAGGCAAAGATCGGTTTCCTTGAAGCGTATGAACCTGGTTGGACTGCTACTCATGATATGGAGTCAAGTCTAACTGAACCTGGACAAGCCGGCCAGTCAACACTCAGTTAATTGTAATTGTAAGTCCCATTTAAGTAATCAAGTAAATAATTTCGTATCTGAATAACCAAGCATACTTACATATTTATAGGTCATTTGGGCTTTTTTTTTTTTCTTTTTTTCTGCAGGACTCGTATGTGCTAACTTCAATACATGACCACCCGGAAGCGTGTGGTCCAACTTCGCATGTGATGCTCATAGGATGACAATCATGACTCAATACTTCCCATACTAAATTTTCGGTTTGTATAGACATTTTTGAGAAAAGTTTGTCCTTCATTTCAGTAGTTGACAAAGTGAACGCCATGGATTTGGAACCTTCATCTCCTTTTTGTATCATTTGTACTGAACTCTGAGACGGGTATCGGGAGCAACAGGATCGGAAAAGAGCTGAATGAAACATGGATAGGCGAGTGAATTTTGGTAAGATAGTTGCACCTCCCATTTGGTGTAAGTTTTGATGCTGTAATACACTTGTTATCGAATTTCGAATGCTTTCCGCTGCTGAGTTATAGACTAATACAGAGAGGGAGCACCAGAATCTTGTTGCAGATGTTCATTAATTAATCTTGTACTCTTTTATGCTGTTGTGCTAATGAATATTTAAGGCACGCCTTTTCTTCATATGGTTTATGAAAACCAAACCAAGTTTTCATTAGTTTATACAGTTGTGTGCCGCATAAGGAAGAACAGATGACGATGCAACTTATATTTCGCAGTTAATAATACAGACACCTAACAGTTTATCAAGATTCTAAACATAATCGCTCATGGCGGGTACATATACAAGCGTCGGGTCCTTTTTATGCCCCGACGAAACAGAAGCACTTCTTAGAACCCTAACTTGAACGTAAAGTTGCATTAATTGGCATCCAAGTAACCAGGCTGAGTCGGGAAACCTTGTTCAGTAACCTTCAGTACTCTGCAAGTGAGATGGTAGATCAAGAGCCCGAACCCGGCAGCGGTTTCGAGATCTGCAGTAGCCATCCGATGCATCCACAGCACTAAGTTTGAATTTGCAGCGTAAATTCAAGGTCTTTCTCAGCCTCGAAAAGGTGACTGGTTCTCAAAAGGCAATTCAACGGGTGTTGCGTTGGCGTAGAATTCTTCCAAGTTGTAGAAAGCTCGCTCTGGTGGAAGAAATATATGAATAACAACATCACCTGAATTAAGACATGAGCGAAGCCTTCTGTGTTAGATCAAGACTCCTTAAAGAAGAATTTGGCAGCAAATTTAACGATTTCTAGGAAGACACTGCAACCACTCCCGCGTTTCCAACTGAATCACGAGACCCCTAATGGTTAGTCCCATAATTGTGCAAATACGTCTCAAGACGCCAAAATAATGACCAGAAAACAACCTTTCTGGTGTCTTATGACTACAAAATTAAGCTTCCAACAGACTGATACTACAAATACAGATGCCAGAAAAAGAACTTCAGAAGAATGAGGTTGAAATTCACAAAGCGGAGGAACATTTGAGAGAATTTGAAGAAAGTTTTCACAAACTTAATCTAAAATCTACTTGAATTACACACTTTAGGAAAAAACTTTCACGGACTACGAACCAATATTGATATCAAGTTTCATCTGAATAAGTCAAAAGGGTCTCTAAGAAAGCTATAGCCGGCTTTCACTACAATGTGAGGGAACGATACTCACCAAAGTCCAACAGGGTCCATGAGTTGGGTTTTGAGTCCCCAGATGGAACTCTTCCATACTTTTCCTCAGCCATATCTCTTATCCTGGACCTAAATTGCAGCATAAAATGCATATCAAATATTTCTTCCAAGCTTGTCTGATAATTTGTCATGCAAATCAAACATAAACATTCATAAATTTAAACTTCGAAGCACATACGCAATTGCATCACTTTGCGGACGAGAAAATGCCGTGGCAATGATAAAAAACCGAGTCCAATATACAAGAGGCTTCACAAATAGGACCTTTATATCTCCTGCTTTTACGTCATTTGCAACATTGGCCATTGCAACAGCAACTAGATAGATTGCAGGAAATCATTAATACGTTTAATACCGCGAGAGATTATAATACATGAAGAAAGAATCTTTATATCAGGCGCCGGTGTAACATTAAGGCCAAACCAAAGAATCTAGCTCAGATTGAATGTGATGTGAGCTTACATGACAAGCTTTCAGCATCATCATCAAGCTCTGTGCTAGGAGACTTCCTGTCATTGCTACTATATACCACCTTTCCATATTTTTCAAACATGTCATCAAACATATCGTCCGTATCTTCGCTTACATTCTGCAATGTGCCATTGATTCAGCTATAAGCATTCAAGGTTCAAAATGACACAAACATAAATCACAAAACTTTACAAATATCCTTACAATTTTTACCTCCTTTCTCATCAAAACATGACAATATACAAAACAATACAAGGGAAAAAATCATATGAAAAGTTTGAACATTTAGAAGATAAGCTTCAAAAAAATCAAAACTTTTTCATAAATATGTTAATTTATTAGCAAGAATTATACAAAATTCAAAACCCAAAACGTAGCTCCCATGGATCTGGACAAATCCGAAAAACGAAATTTCATACCGGAGTGAAACTATCTTCAGCTTCCTTGGCGCGAGCCAAACGTAATCTTGGCAATTCCCTTGACTTCAAAGTTAGGTTCTTGCTTCTGGGCACTTGCCAAAAGCACTTGCAGTGCAAGCACTTATGAGGAAAAAGCGCGGTGGGACTTTGATAGAGCTTGGGTTGAAGACGACCTAGCTTCTGGAGGTCGTCGGAGAACCGGTATCCGACGCCAGCTCCGGCAAGAGACAGAGTAATGAGAACCGCCATTTTTGGTGTTTTGGTTTGGTACGGTTGCAAAGATATTTGAAGATGAGAGAGAATATACTCACGAGATGGATATCACCAGCAGCAAGCAATGGTCATCAAATCATATATTCGGGTTTTTGGGCTCGGTCTGTCTACATCCTGTCTGGCCCAGTCTTTTTTCTTTCTTTATTTCTTTTTGGTGAATTTGTTTTTCCTTTATTTGTTTACAAAGAACGTCGGAGTTTGCAAGAGGCTTGTAGCTAAAGACGTGACTTATAAACCAGGGTCAAGAAGATTGAGAAAAACCAGTCATTCACAACAACGGTTGACGGATTCCTTGAAAGTCGAGGAGTAATAATCATTTGTAGAAATCAAATTGATTCAATCTTATACATACAAATTCCCGCTCTCGTTTGCACAAAACTTCTCGACCCATGTCATTTGCAAGTAAATCTTGTGTTTTGCGTACCTTGGTACTAACATTTTTTTTTTTTTTTTTCTGTTAAACCACCACCCCATCCTATTTCCATGACCAGTTTTATTATCATTCTACAAAACTGAAAGTACACTACCAGGGGACTTGGGGCTGCGGAATTTTTTTTTCAAAAGCAACTTATTAAAAAGCTGGGCCAAATCAAAGCAAGAACTCTCTTCCGGTTGAACAATAGAACAATGGCCTTTGAAATTACTAGTGGTACAAAGACAAGTGAAAATAACTTCTAGTCCATTCCGAAAGTTCTAGGGGTGCTTAGGAGTATACTGTAATTCAGATTCTTTAACCGTGAGCTCATGGTCATTGTATTTTTGACGAAGATCTAACAGTTTAACACCCCATACTCTAAAGCAGCATAGAAAATCCCTATCCCATTCGCATGGTGAAAGAATCCGACAACAATCCGATTCATGTTTTGAAGGTCACGGCCACCAAGAGGTTCTGGTCAAACAAGATTTGCAGCCTCAATATATGAAGAAGGATACAGCAAATGATCCTTTACCACAGTGGTGAAAATGTGCCCTTGCATAACGACGTGGATTCAAACTCCGTCGATGGCTAGTTTAACGACTAATCTAATAAAATCTATTGTTTGACAAAAGAAGAAAAAGAAAAAGGATGCGACCGAAAGCAAGATTTATTAGATGATATGAGCAAATGTTTGTATCATAATCTGTGGGAAGAATTATTGTCTCAATTTTACGGTCGGGGTAGAACTTTACAGAAGTTAACCGTACAACTCGATCCATTGCACCACCTGGCTAAAAAGAAAACCATATCATACGCTTGTTTTTACAATAGATTGACCAAATGTGCAATATCAAGCAACATCCTTCGTTCCCACATTGTTGTGTTACAGTCATGGAATTAAAAAAGTAAAGCTACCGGAAAAAGTTTTAAAAGCTCAAAATAACACAACTTGATCCTGTCTACTCATAAGCAACCCAAATGGTAATATCAACTCCGAGTATGTCCGTCACTCTTGAGAATTTTGTGCTTCATACTCATGGCAACTAAGTAAAAGAGGGTGGGGAAGGGAAAGAGAGAGGACAGGAGCGGGGGTGAGGGCGAGAGGAGGGAGATGCAGGTGTTACCTATGGCCTATGAGGGTGAACTGCTACTGCTTCCCTTAAAGACCTACATGAAGTGCCCGCCATCAGAACAAGCTAAAGCTATATAGGCCAAATACCAAAGCGTCAAAAATCAAACAATCCGCCTAACCCGCAGAAAATCATGAACAATCTTATTTAAGCTACTGCAAAAGAACAAGTATTAACTCTAAATAACATTAGCCCAATTGCATTCCAATGATTAGAACCACTAAAAGAAAATCCATGAGAGAGCGAAAGAAAGTATTACCTATGGCTTACGAGGAGGTGAACTGCTGCTGCTGCTCTTGCTACTGCTTCTTCCCCTCAAAGGCCTACATAAAACCAAGTACCAAATCTGTTAAAAAACAAGCAACCCCGGTCCACAAAAACATGAGAATTTGTTTAAGTTACTACACAAGTACTAAGCCCAAGTTTTGTATCTCAATTGGGTTTTTAATCTGCGATTAATAAATACGTATGCTGTGAACTTATAGAAAAATGATCAGACATAAACTGATTACCAAAAAGACAAATAGTAAAGCCAAAAGGATAAATTGCAGATGAAAACAAACTTAAACGAATGTGAGATTCTAAAACAGATACAAATGGCCTGGAATGAAGTTCATTCAGATCAAGGTTAAAAGTAAAAATTAATTAATTACAAAATTACCTTCTTGGACTACGAGAGATTTTTCGGGGTACCTGTTAGACTGCAGAGAGTTAATCCATGTAAGGTATCCCATAAGCCATGTTTTTAATGTAAACAAGCTAGTAAAAGCTACCTTTCGTGGACTAGGTGATCCAGATGACGTTGACCTCCCACGTCTAGTAGCTGGTGCTCGACCCCTGTTGAATACAAGCAACAAAGAAGGTATAAGGCATATTAGCTAGCATACTACTCTTTCAAAATAAATATAACAAAATACGAACTTTGAAAGGTATATTTTGGCAATATGTAGAGTAGGAACTAGGAACCTACTACGCAATGAAATCATCTCATCTAAAAAGGGGAAGAAAAGATAGTACTTTATACATAATCACCCAAAAACATATGTAGTAACTAATACGGTATCAAGATACCAAGAGTTAAAAAAAATAGGTTCTCAAAGATAGTACCACCATATATCCCTTGGAGGGAAAAAAAAAACTTTGACAGGTCAAGTAATGAGATGTACGCAAACATATATTCCACCGCATACATTGGAACATACTGAAGTGGAAAGAACAAAAACAAGTAGCATCCTAAAGGAAAATAATAATCAATGGCAAGTTCGATGTTAGATGACCACATCAGTGGCCAGATTTACTTCATGCATTCCTTCTTTGTCCAACATAACAACTTCGTGTTCACAAGACAAACCACTGCCTCCTCAAGCACACAGATACATCAACACGAGTTTTTTTTTTTTGGGTGGAGAAGAAACTTTATTTCAAACAACAGAACTATGCAAAAGCTAGACTACAGCACATGAGTTCAAACGTTATTTTCATCGAGGTATGAATAAACATCACAAACTCCAAACTCAATGCACTAGTAAATGCAATTCCACCCAACTTCACTGAATTGAGAACATGAAATATCAAGAAACGTGATCCACTTCAAGCATAAAGCAAAAGACTTCTTCAGACATGGATATTGATGTTACCTCCGCGGCGAGATTGACCTTGAACGTGATTGACCAGGCCTACGAATGGGAGAACGGGTCCGCCTACGAATTGGAGACCTTCTGGGAGGGCTACGAAACCGTCTAGTAGGTGAACTGAAGAATTAAATTCGTACAAGAGATCAAACCAAAATATAAACTCAAAGTAACTCAACCGAAGAGAAAAAATAGCTTGACAGCTCATATTTCTAAGCACATTTGGTACAGTGACATCAACCTTTTTGCTCCAATACATGCCTAACAACTGAGATCTTATTAAAAAAGGTGCGCGAAGGAGCATGTAAATTCCATGATAATACCATTGGTTTATACGATGCATCCTGATTATCAAAACACCTGAGGCCTTTTGGGTCATCTCTGCTATGCATCTATCAAGCACATTTGCTAAATATATTCCAGGACTTGTATGTTTCTAGAACGAAATAAACTTTTATAATTGAAATTAATAGCCTGGCTTCAGTTTTCTTTGCAGAAATTGCATGCACAGTACTTATATATCACAGGTCCACAAAAAGTAAGCACATATATACACGTAATTAAACAAATCTGCATGGTGATAAAGATTCACTAACTGTTGGAAGAACACGCAAAACCAGTAAAATCAACCAGGAGTAGCACGAGATCTCTTTCCATTCAACAGAAATCCATGGTCTATGAAAAATCCATATCTTGATTTATTTTTGTAAGCACACGATTTGTGAAGAATTTTAGGTACAAAACTAGAAGTTTACCCGCGCCTCGGGGGTCCTGGAGAGCGTCTACGAATGGGACTTCCTCGTATCCTTCTTGGAGAGGTCGTATTCAAGAAGATGATTAGTCAAACACCAATAAAAATAACTCAAACAATTTAGGATACAAAAATGCAAAATTGCCTCAATATACCTAATAGGGGAATGTCGCCTTGGTGGCGGTGATCCAGAACGACCTCTGGATGGAGATGCAAGCCTCCTCCTTGGAGGTGAACCACCACGGCGGTAGGGACGCGCAGGTGAGGCAGCACGACGACGCGGTGGAGAATCTAATGGTCGTCTTGGAGATTCACCTCTTCGAGATACAGGTGATCTCCTTCGTGGTGAGAGAGCACCTCTCCGGCGAGGAGAAGCTGATATTATTAAGTAAAAGATAGATAACTAACATTGTAGAAAAAACATATATGATCCTATAAAAAGAATAAATACAAAGATTATACCTTCCCTCAGTCGTTTTGGTGCATCTTTGTCAGCACTGACACCATCAGTTTTCACAGCGTCTCTCTTTGGAGCAGTGGCAACAGGCTTAGGGGGAGAAGACACCTTCTGACGTTGAGGTAATGTAAACTTTGCTCGAACGACATTACCATCAATTTGAGCCTGAAACAAGGAATTTCACCACATCAATTCAAAATATGTAATGGTCTTAAAGTTATAGCAACTGTTATACTCCCACTCTTCGAGAAAACTTACGCCGTCCATGTATAATTGTGCTTTTTCAGCATCCGCTCGTATTTTGAACTCAACATATCCAAATCCTTTTGGAAGATTAACCTGCAGAAGAAGGCACATTAACAAGCTTGTTACACAGCAAGATACTTCAAAATCAAGAATTAAATCTAGCATGAACTCACAGTACGATCCATTGCCAGCTCCACATTGACAACTTCACCAAAGTTACCTACAAAGTATGCAAAATGGAATGAGAGACACTGCCTGTGACCCAGTTAATCTGAATATTTAGCGAAGAAAAAAAATATACGAGCTAAAGATGTGAGCACTTTTTCATACATATGGTTATCAAATCTGAGGATCGGTGCTACAGAGCACCAGACACATGTAATTGCCTAAACATGGAGTCATTAGTAGTTACTTTAAGGTTACATGGAATAGATCCTTTTACAATTTTGCATAAAGATAACAAAATAAAAAAAAAAACCAAAGAGAATGAAACTTTAAAAGAATAAAAGTTTAAATCAAATATAAATTAAAATTTCCCCAAAGGCTGAGGAGAAGAGCGACACTTACTGACATCTAAAAATATACGTTGGACTCCTCAGGCAAGATTTTAAATTAGTTGCACTATAGGCTATTATGTAAATAAAGAAATGTATACGGAATTAGCTTAGATCAACTCCTCCAGGCAAGATTTTAAATTAGTTGCACTATAGGCTATTATGTAAATAAAGAAATGTATACGGAATTAGCTTAGATCAACTCCTCCAGAATTAGGTATATTAATCACCAACATAATCTCATGATGCAAAAAGAAGTCAAATAGTATAGATACAAAACAAAAACATACAGAATATTTCTCGTAAATGGCCTTCATGCACATTCCTTGTTAGTGCGTCAATGTGAAGAACAAGTGACTCATGAACCGCATGAACTGGAGAAACTTTCCTGAAATGTGACATGTTATCAAATGAAAGATGTGGATTGGAATTTATGGTGGTCGAGAAAGTAAAACTTAGTGGATCTACTCAAAAGAAATCTATCAAATTTAATAAAGACCAGCGAGAACTCAATATCTAGGAGTACTCCAGGTAGCAAGCGGAAAATAAGGTTTCTAAGAGAAAACTCATATCCAAATGTCAATTGCAGTAAAAAAAAGGAGAAAAAGAATATCTACATCAACATAATTTGAGTTAGTAACATTTTGGATTACCAAAACTAAATTACAAACAGGATGCTGTTCATACTCATAGAATACGTATGTACATGAACAGTCACTTGACCCCAATCAAAGTCTACTTCAAATTGACTAACAAGTTCTACTTCTCAATGTGCCCCAAAAAAATTGATAAGCACAAAAACCACTAAGAAACCCCCACAAATTCATAGAAGAAAACTATTAATACCTTGGGGGTGGAGACAGCCGTTTTAGATTGTGGTGTTGGAGAACGACCTCGTTTAGCAACTTCAGAACTGTGAAAAACAAATCAGTTTAATTAGCAATACGGCTTTACGAAAACCTGAATGAACCAAATCCATAATCACATTAAAGCACGACAACAACAAAAAACCAAATAACGAAAAAGTGAAGGTGCATGATTTAAAATCTAAACAATACATATACATTATCGTTTGAATGCTCTAGCCTCATCAATTAATCGACTCATAACTGTTCGTTTGAGTTGCTCCACTTTTAATACTTCATCCTTCCTACTTAACGAAAAATTCATACTTTTTGCGATGAAAGGCTGAATGCTTAACGTCAATTGAAAATTTTCTCACCAACAAAGATGAATGTCGAATCAACGTTCTTTACATTCAATTTCAATTTTTTTACTTAGCTTACTGCTCATATATTGCATTCGCCAGTGTTTTATAGGTGCGGCTTGTTTCTTTTCTATGATGATTGTAGTTAGGGTTTTGGTTGTTCGGCATTCCATTCTATTCAGTGTCTTTGTTCGTCTAAAATTGTTTAATATTTCCTTTGCGAATTTATTCCGAATTTTCTAAGCAACAAAACAGCACATACAAACCCTCGAATGTCAAATTAGAAGCGCGAAAAGGAAATCAAACCTTTTTTTGGAGGCAGGGGGGCTACGGCTGCGAGAGCTGCCACTCCGAGACGGAGAGGAGGAAGAGGTGAAGGACCTGGAGCGAGAACGAGAGCGAGAAAGCGAGCTGGAGTGCGAGTCGGAGCCGGAGAAGGAGCGGGAACGCGAGCGGGAGCGGGAGGATGAGCCGGATGCGGAGCCTGACGGCGAGCGACGGGCTCGGGTTGGCTTCGCCATGGCGGACAGAGACGAAACCCTAGATAAACCCCGCTGGTAAAGTGTCCAGAGAGAGGGAGAAGGTGAAGGTGGTTTACTATGTTATCATCATTTACTATCTCAAAACGGTTTTCTAGCAAACATTACTTTCATTAGTAAACTAGTGCAAGATTCCACCAAAAAAAAAAAAAAAAAAAAAAAAGACCTAGTACAAGAGAGAGACCAAAAGGCCTCCCATAAAAAACAATAAGGATGGTAAAAACCCAAACAAGATGAGAGATGTCCACATAAATTTAGATCTGTAGGTAGAAAAAACAAACAATAAAAGACCCTAATCTGGAGTAGCATAAACCAAATCGTTTTTGTTGCCTCGTCCTTAAAAGACACCAAACTCCGAACTGAGAAAGTAGACACCAGATCTAAATTCCCTTTATGAACTCCTGCAAACGTAGTCCAAACAAAGTACCATATGGATAGAAGGTGAGGCTAAGGGGTATGTGAAATACCCTCACTGTGACGAAGGCCACAAAACACTTGGTCTTGATGGGGATTCGACATGCTGATTGAGAGAGGGAGGAAAATGGATATGATATTTAATTTGAATTGGAGCCCGCAAATCCGAGCACATGATGGAGTAGGGATGAAATATCATGGATAAAGAAGAGGAAAAAATGAAAGGTAACAAACAAAGAACAGTAAAAACAGTACGAAAAACGCCGGATAAGGGGCTTGAAGCCCAAACCTGAGACAAACTCAAGGTTATTGAGACCAAACTCAATATGGTAGTGGGAAGGGAGAGGTGATGTGAAGTTGTAAGAAGGAAGAGGCAGAGGAGATGAGAGATAAGGAAAAAGGGAAAAGGCAGAAGACAAGGGAATGGAGGAAAAGAGAGAAAATGCAGAGTAGATGAAGGGAAGGAGAAGGAGGAGTGGGAAGGTGTAAAGGGCTGTGAGAAAGAGGGAAGGAGAAGAAAATAAGGGTGGCTCCCATCGGCACCTAAGCTAAAGGCTAGGGCCAGCATCGAAGTTGAAACCGAGTTGGTGTTTCAAAAAGAAAGCTTTCATAGAGAAACGCATTTTTGAAAAGTATATAAATATGTTGCTATGGACAAATAATAATATTTTATAAAATATTAAAACATTTAACACTTAAAATATTATGTTATTCATAAAAAAGTTAAAAGTTTGAAAACACAAAAAAACATCGATGTAAAAGAATTGTCACACACATGAGTGTGTAGCAAGGAACTAGAAGTTTATAAAAATAAACAATTGAATTTAGGGTTTAGGGCGGGGATCAAATCAAAACCATTGAAAACAAAGATAAGCAACTTACCCATTGAGACACAAGCCAAGTTCGTATTCTCATAGCATCGCCTCACTAATATATAGGCATAAAATTAGTAATCCTAACCCTATCCCTAGCCCTAACCCTAAACCCTAAACCCTAACCTAAACTCTAAACCCTGACCTTAAACCCTAACCCTAAACCCTACCTAACCCTAAACCTAACCCTAAACCATAAAACCTAAACCCTAAACCATAATCCTAACCCTAAACCTAAAACCTAAACCTTAACCCTAACCATAAACCCTAAACTTAACGCTAAACCCTAAACGCTAAATCCTAAACCCTAAACTCTAAACTTAAACACTAAAACCCCCAAACCATAAACTCTAAACCCTAATCCTAACCCTAACCCTAACCATAAACCTTAAACCCTAACCCTAACTTGAACCCTAATCGAAACACAAACCCTAAACCCTAATGCAAACCCAAAACCCGAAACCCTAACTTAACCTTAAACTCTAACCCTAACCCTAAACCCTAAACCCTAATCATAAACCCTATACCCTAAACCTAACCCTAAAACCTAAACCTAAACCCTATACCAAAAGCCTAACCCTAAAACCTAAACCTAAACTCTAACCATAAACTTTAAACCCTAAACCCTAACCCTAACCCTAATCCTAACCCTAACCATAAACCTTAAACCCTAAACCTAACACTAAACCCTACCCTAAATACTAAACTCTAAACCTTAACACCTAACCTTAAACCCTAAACACTAAACCGTATCCCAAACCCTAAACCCTATATCTAAACTTAAACTCTAAACCCTAACCCTAATCCTAAACCTAACTCTAACCTTAACCACAACCCTAAACCCTAAACCCAAACCCAAACCCAAAACCCAAAACCCTAACCCTAACCCTAAAACCCAAAACCCTAACCCTAAAACCCTAACGCTAACCCTAACCCTAATCTTAAACCTTAATGCCTAAATCCTAACCCTAAACCCTAACCCTTACCTTAACCCTAAACTCAAACACTAACCCTAAATTTTGACACTAACCCTACAAACACCAAACATGACCCTAAACCCTAAACCTCAAACCTCAAATCCTTAACCCTAAACCTCAAACCTCAAATCCTTAACCCTAAACCCTAAACCCTAGCCCTAACCCTAAATCCTAAACTCTAACCCTAACCCTAAACCTTAAACCGTAGACCCTAAACCCCAAATTTTGAAACCTAACCCTAATCATAAACCTAAACCCTAAACCCTAAACCCTAACCCTAGACTCTAGACCCTAAACCGCACCATTAACTCCATATCCAAATCCTAAATTCTAAAACCCCAACCTTAAACCCAACACACAAAGCTCAAACCATAAACCCTAAACCCTAAACCTTAAACTATAAACTATAAACTCAAATAGCAAAATTATCAAAGAGAGTATCAAAATACTCAACAATTTTCCCTCCTACTATCCTTTATTTTGTCAATCAATTATGAAAACCTTAGTCGCAAGGGTGACATTATCCATTACCATTTATCATATTCTGCTTATTCCACTTATAGACCTCCAAAAATTAGTATTATAACAAACTATGACTTGTGGCCTAACTTTAAAATTCAAAAGTGGGCTCCACCTTGAGGAGAAATACGATTTGCATAGAAACACGTACACTGTCACAAAATTTGGGTACCCTATCCGCTTTTATGCTTCAAATTCCAAATGAAAGACATCATAGATAGTCTATTATAACCTACAAGTTATATTGGGTGATTAGGATTGGATTGATTTTGGATTAAGAATTAGGATATGACTGAAGGGCTAACACTAAGTATTTGTGGTTTAATTCTCATGTCGTTAAATTTGTTATCAAAGATCCAATATCAAAATTTTGTTGTGACCTATTTATATAAGAGAAGGAGAGTGTGTGGTATAGACAAAAAGAGAGAATTGGAGAATGGTCTTGAAGAATTATGTGTGTTATTCGTAGACCTTGTGCCTTTATTTATAGTAATAAGGAGGAGAGATTAACTTGCTCTCCAAGTAATACAAGGTTTAATAGGAAGATCTTCAAGATGCTGAAAGATTCCTAATTTATCTCTATTTAGGATTTACACAATCACACTATATTAAATATTAATTACAACACTTCCCCTTGAGTGTGTAATTACTCAAGCAATAGACACATCAAATCTTCATGCAATACAATGAAAAACAACTAAAGATGTCTTGCATTAGTTGTTTTATTGTTTTTTTTTTTTTTTTGTGGACAAACAAAGTAAATTTCATTTAAAGAGAAAGCTAATACAAGATAAGGACAACCCCAAAAGAGAGTCCAAAATAACCAAGCAAAAGCCCAACTCCATAAATGAAAACTACAAAGAGAAGGGCCCAAAGTGAACAGCCCATAGCAGCAACCAAACTGAAAAACCTAGACAGCCACCTCTACCAAAATAGCCGCACCGCCACCACAGATCCATCAACACCACCTGAAGGGCCAAAGAACCAAATGGATGAACGGAAAATGGGGGTAGGCAAGCCACCCGCGCTGGGAGCGCTCCCATAATCCTACCAAAATAGTGCAAAATGCACTTTAAAAGGGTAGCTGGTAGAAGATTTACAATGAGGAGTGACGTTTGGAAAGGAACAAGACAAAGAAAACAAATCTAAGATAAACTTAGGAAAGACTGAGACCATGCTCAAAGCAACCTGAGACACAAAATGCTCAGACAGAAAACAAACGAAAGCTAAATGCAAATACAGATAAACTAAATCTCCAACCAGGGTGGCTTAGAGAGGGAAAAGCTGTAGTGGATTTGGAGGAAAAAGGAGAGAAGGGCAAATTGGGAGGAAATGGAGAGATGGGGAAATTAGGAGGAAAGAGATGGAGAGAAAGGGAGGAAGAAAGGAAAGAAGGGTGGAAAAAGGAGAAAGGAAAGAAGGGCGAAAAACAGGGAAAGATGGGAGATAATGATGAAAATAGTGGGTGGACGAGAGAGGAAGAGAGAGGAGGGCGAGGAGGGAAGGGCTAGGCTGCCGCCAACCTCAAGCCGGAGCAAGAGGCCGATGGCAGAGAAGGGTTTAGAGGCTTCAGCGCTTTACTTTAGGGGAGGGAGATGGCACATAGTCATAGGCAAAGGTTTGTTAGTTGTTTTATTGTTTAGTAAGGCATTTTGACAATTACAATGAAATAGAACTAACGCAAGATGTCTTTGGAAACATGTTGCGCAATTTAAAACAGGCCTCTCGCGCACACGTGAAAGGCTTAGTTTCTTTAATTTTTAAAATAAAAAATATATTTTAAACAAAAATAAATAAAGAATAAAAATTATAAATAAAGAATAAGATGTAAAAGAGTAAATTATCATCATTTATATCATTTCTCTAATAAAGGTAAGGCTCACCAATACATGTGGTCCCATTTGTGTTACAGAGATGGTACAAAAAAATGGTAAAAATTGTATTTTTGTAAAAAAATAAATTAAAATAGCTAATTAAATAAAATTCAACAGTATAAACAACTTACCAGCTAGCAGAGATCAATAGAAGGAAATAAAGTGGCACAAAGGAGATGATGGCATGAAACTTTAAAACACAAAGTTGAAGTTTAGAGGGGCACATTGGCACAAAACAGAAGGAAATAAAGTGACACAAAGGAGTATGCATTGGTAAACCTCATAGAACTCTAGTTGTGCATACTAATTATCTTCAACTTTTATCTAGGAGAAATCAACAGCACAAGAAATGTTAACTTGGATCCAAACATCATTGTAGCTCACTCCATCATAATTGCCTCAAAATAGCGTTCCTATCATGCAAAACGGGTTGGTTCCCCAAGCT